CAATAAGGACAACCCCAGGGACTTGAGTTGCGAACAGGAGGAAGCACAAGGGACAGATGGAGGCACGAGCCAGAGATATATATGTCAGCCTTCACATATATACTACAGGATCACGCATTCCTACATGTGGGTTCACACGCCCAAGCATTCACCTACACAACCCACTTGCACCTGCACAAGCACATAAATATATATACTATACACGTACATGAGGTATATCTACCCACAATTTACATAGAAAGGCATATGCAAATGTCAAGCAACGGTGTGGGAGAGGGGGCAAGAGGGAGTCGTTTAACGCTAATCCAGTATGGCTTCCCCCGGATGTCATTGTATCTGATGGGGAATCCCCACTCCCAGGCTAAAAGGCCATTATACCCAAGTGCCAAGCTCATGGAGCTCTACCTGGTGGCTGAGTTTTGGACAGTAGACAAGGACAGCTAGAGCCACAATCAATCTCAACCCTGGCATACGGTGATAGCTTGGTTTGTTTATTAACAGACCTATGGCAGCAGCTTCCTTCCTTCAATATTTATCAGTCTCTCCCTCTAAGGAATCCAGGGACTCAGATCCAGCTAAATCATTAGGCTTTGATGCTGAAAAGAAGTTCCCATACCCAGAAAATTCGGGTGGTTCTGGCAACTCTCCTGCTCAGGACAATGGAGCTAGACATAGTTATTTTTCATTCATTCAATAACCTTTACTGAGCACCCACTACATTCTGGCCACTATGTTGGCAACAGGGATTACAAACTTAACAATCCTTGTCCTAGTGGGGAAAGCAGACATTAAAAAGTAGGAATACTATAAAGTATGAATTATGTTGAATGTATCAAATGGAAAAAAAAAGTATATTTTGACTAGGAGGATAGGGCAATCATAAGGCAAAAACTTAGATCTGGGAAAGTGACATTTAGGCTGTATCTTAAAAAATGACTGGAAGTGAGTCAGGTAAAGAAGTGGGATGATACAGGAATAGGAAACATTCCAGGTAGAGGGAAGAGCTTGCAGAAAGACCCAAAGAAGTGAAGAAACTGAAAGGAGGCCAGTGTAGCGTGGGAAGGAGATGAGGTTGAAGCAGTGGCCAAGAGTCAGATCATACAGGGTCTTTTAGACCATAGTGCAGTGTCAACTTCAGCAATTTCCTTTGCACTAAAAGTGCAAAGGAAATTGCTGAAGAGCACTGAAGCCCTGGGAGTGAAAATACGATAATTCCTAAGATGTTTTAAGATCCCTGGCTTTACCAGGAGTGGTGGTGCATGTCTGTAATCCCAGTGATTTAGGACCTTGAGGCAGGAGAATGGCAAGTTTGAGGCCAGCCTCGATAATTGAGACCCTCAGTAACTTAGCAAGACTCTGTCTCAAAAAATAAAAAGGGATAGGAATGTAGTTCAGTGGCAAAGCACCACTAGATTCAACCTCCAGTTACCTTCAAAAAAAAAAAAATCCCTGGTGTTTACTTGGTGGATGGACCTTGGCAAGCCAAAATAGAAGCAGATGGAATACTGAGGCAGGAGGATGGTCTGATCCCAGGAGTTGAAAACCAGCCTGGGCAACATAGTGAGACCCTGCCTCAGACAAGAAAAAGGAAAGAAGAATGGAGGCAGTAGACCATTAAGAAACTGAAACTAGGGCTGGGGATATGGCTCAAGCGGTAGCGCGCTCGCCTGGCATGTGCGCTCGCCTGGCATGTGCGCTCGCCTGGCATGTGCGCTCGCCTGGCATGCACGCGGCCTGAGTTCAATCCTCAGCACCACATCAAAATAAAATAAAGATGTTGTGTCCACCGAAAACTAAAAAATAAAATATTAAAAATTCCCTCTCTCTAAAAATAAATAAAGCTGAAACTAGACTGGGGTTGTAGATCAGTGGTGGAGCACTTGCCTCACATGTGTGAGGCACAATTTTCGATCCTCAGCACCACCATATAAAAATAAATAAATAAAATAAAGGTATTGTGATCATCTATAACTAAAAATATTTTTTAAAAAGAAACTCGAAGCTGGGGATGTGGCTCAAGTGGTAGCATGCTCGCCTGGTGTGCGTGAGGCACTGGGTTCAATTCTCGGCACCACATAAAAATGAAATGATGATATTGTGTCCACCTAAAACTGAAAAATAAATATTAAAAAAAGAAAAACTCTCAGGAAAGATATCATAACTGGACTAAGGGAATGACAGTGAACTGGAGTTAACTTCCAAATTTCACTTAGGAATATTTTTATGTTCAGGACACTGTATCTCCACTGTGAATTTCCCAGGTCCACTTTAGAGCAAAGGTGAATTAAACATAGATAGACCTCTCGTTCTTCCTGGCTCACCTAAAGCAGCAGCAGCAGGAAATATAAATCTCTGAGGTTACTAACTCCACATCAATTCTCTTCCTCAGGGGTGGGGACCCACACTCCCATCCAAAGGACCCAAGACTATAGTTAACTCAGTTGAAGACATGGGGTCTGTGATCTAAACCAGAACCGGCTTGTTCCTGGGAGGTTTTTCACCTGTACTCTTTATCCTTTAGGCTTACGCATCCATGATTATTTGTACTTCCAAGTGCTGAGTCCTGGGGACATTCGATATATCTTCACAGCCACACCTGCCAAGGACTTCGGTGGTATCTTTGTAAGTCCAAGGATGTACCTGATCTCTGATCCTCAGCTCTGCCCCTTTGCCTCCCTGAGCTCTGGTGACTCTGAGTCAGGGAAGGAGAGAGTTCAGCTATGCTCTGGAGGAGCTGCAGTACAGAAAAGAAGCGCTTCCAACTACTTCCCCAAGCATACAATAGACTAGGTACCATGAAGGGACAAACCATCTCTTTGGGGGTCATGAAATAGTGAAAAAACAAGTGCACCAAGCTTCTCTGCCGGCTCTACCTCTGGACACCTACTTTCTTGAGTCTATGACCAATTACCTACCTAGCTCAAAGCAACGTGGGTTGGGGTTGGACAACCAGATAGGCCTTTGTGAGAATCAAGGCTGGAGTGCCCAGCAACACAGAAACCACTTCACATTTCCTTCACTCTTTATGATGAGGGCCAGTAAGATGGGCCGGTCAAGCCCAGTCCCAAAGCAGATGTGTCTGGTCTTCTTATACTTTCTCCTGTTCAAATGCCTAAACATTTTTTAGCACACAAGGTATGAGCAGATTCATCTTGTCCCTGCTGAACCTCCAGAAGCTTGTGGGGAACTCAGCAACGGCTTCTTCATCCAAGACCAGATTGCTCTGGTGGAGAGGGGGTAAGGAGTCAACGGGCATGGCACAAGTAGGGGGCAGGCATAGGGCAGATTCTGAGATCATGGCCGGTGGTGGTAATAGCTGGTTTTGAATTCTTTGAAAGACTCAAGGCTATCCATATTTTTGGCTTTGTACTTAGGAGTCTTTATAACAAGTTCTACATGATCCTTCTTTCTCCTCTGACCTCACCTCTTCCAGGGGCTGCTCCTTCCTCTCCAAGACCCGGGTGGTACAGGAGCACGGTGGGCGGGCCGTGATCATTTCTGACAATGCAGTTGACAATGACAGCTTCTATGTGGAGATGATCCAGGACAGTACCCAGCGCACAGTGGACATCCCTGCTCTCTTCCTGCTCGGCCGAGATGGGTGAGGGGGGTCCTTGTCTTCGGCTGTCAGCAGCAACTGGGTAACATGACTTGGGAGGTGAAGGGTAACCACCAGCCCCTTCCCATAGACCTCATCTTGGGGTGCCTCAGTTGGAGGGCAAAAAGACTCCTTGGGCTTCAGAACCCAAGAGTGATGGGGAAAGTGGGACATGTTGCGATGCTCAGAAAATGTGATCACCACCACCTCTCTTCATGCCCTCCTAGCTACATGATCCGTCGCTCCCTGGAACAACATGGGCTGCCATGGGCCATCATTTCCATCCCAGTCAATGTCACCAGTATCCCCACCTTTGAGCTGCTGCAACCTCCCTGGACCTTCTGGTAGAAGAGCTGGACTCACATTCCATCCATAAGCAACTCTGAGCTGGGAAGGGGAGACCCAGGAATTCTACTATTTGGAATTTGGGGATAGCACCTGGGGACAAGTGGAGCCAGGTAGAGAAAAAGGGCTTGGGCCTTAGGCAGGCTGAGGGAGGGAAGCCACACCACTGGCTTTCCCATCCTCAGGGACTCCAAGGACATCTCATGCTACAGGAAGAGGGAAGAGCCAAGCCCCCAGGGCTTCTGGCTAGAATCTGGACCAAAAGAAGCCAAAGGCAGGCAGCCTGAGAGCTGTCTGTAACCTGTCACATCCCACCTGGTTCAGCCTCCCCGACCCAAGGTCTCCTCACAGTGACCTTCACAGCAGTTGCTGGAGTGATTTAAGGAACTGGTGTTTGGGACTCAATAAACCATCACTGACTTTTTAGCAATAAAGCCTCTCATCAGGGTTGCACCTGTGTCCTAGAATAAAACACACGGATGGGAGGGGCCTCCAGACTCACATCTCTGGTCCCAGTTTTTTTTGTTGTTTGTTTCATTGTAGAACTGGGGGTAGAAATCAGGAGCACATCCTACCATTGAGCTACATCCCCAGTCCTTTTTTTTGGAGACAGTTGCCAAGGCTCAAACTTGCAATCCTTCTGCCTCAGCCTCCTGAGTAGCTGGAATAATAGGCATGTGCCACCATACCTGGACCATACAATCATTTTGAGGGGATGCAATTAAGGCCCAGAGAAGACAAGGACTTGCCCAAGGTCCAGCACTCAGACTGCTAGTCTTGGATCCCAACACAGCTTTATGTTCAAGAGCTCAAGAAACCCCAAGGAGGTGAAATTCAGCCCCCTGGAAAGAAGACTCATCTTGTAGCCTAGTGCTAGGGATCAAGATTGGACCTTAGGGGTCCCATGTTCTGACTTTAGAAATATTTGTACAATAGGTTGCTGAGACCAGAGATGCAGCTCCCTATCTGCCCCCATCTAGTTTAACCTGAGCCTCCAGGCACCCATCTACATTTATTCAGCAAGCTATTCTCAGCTATTATCTACAAAGCATTCCTGTAGAGGCCTGTCACCACTCATGTTTTATTGAGGACAGTGGGCAGGCAGGATGGGAAAGGGTTGCTGGCTGCTGTGAAGGAGTAAGAACCCAATAGGTGAGGGGGCCAGACAGGCAGGTTCAACCTAACTCCATGATCCAATCAATAAATGTCCTGTGGGTGGAACCTGCCCTCCCTGAGATCCCTCAGCTGGGGGATATGACAGGACCTCACAGAAGGTAGGCAGGAAGGAATTGGGAATGATGGATGTAATTCCTCCAGCACCTTACCCAAAAGTGAGAGTGCTCATCTGGGAAAAGGAGGGGACAGTCAGCTAATCTCTGAGCATCTAACCTAGCTCCTCTACATTTCTGGAAGACTTCAATGTTCTTCTGTAGAGATCCTAAAGATGGAGACTGAGGCCAGGAGAGCCCTTCACTGACCCATTTTAACTGGCCCCAGGGAAGACTAGAACATTCTAAATTAAGGAACATAGACCTGTCAGCCATACTGCTAGAGTCCTCAGCGGGAAAGGGTGATGATCATCCATGCACCCCTCCTAAGGAAGGCAGAGGCTTTCCCCATACCCCATGGGGCCAGCACTGTGCCAGGGCATGAGAGGAAAGGCACGAGGTACAGAGATTCTGGGGTCTGGAAAGGAGTTAATCTCCACTTCCCCTGATATCCAAACAGTGGGAAGGGTATATGTGTGTGAGGGGCAGGGGTGGCAGATTCCCAGTGTTCCCTGGGAGTGGGCCTCAGGGAAAATGCTCTAGAGGTCCAGACCCTTGCCTTACCCTATTGGGCTAGCGGGCAAACCATTGTCTTATCAACTATAGCTGTGGCAGGTGGAGCAAGGACAGTGGGGTACCTCCTCTTTCCATTTCAGTGACATCATCTGTGCTCATTTACCACTTTTTACCCCCTCAAAATAATAGCCAATTGAGAGGGAAAAAGCCTCAGGTGAGTGGATGAGTATAGACCAAGGGGCCAAGGAGAAGAGACACTGTTAGGGCCTGACCCTGGTTCCAGCCCCTCACATCTACAGTGGAGTGACCTCGGGGGAGGCCGGTTCTGGAAGGCTCAGTGACAGCAAGGGGCCTGAGCCAACTCAGCAGCAGTGTTCAGGGCATGAGGTCTAGTGGGGGACATGGGGTCCAGTCTCTGTCCTACCCTCAGGCAGCGAGCACTGGAAGGGGGAAAGCAGGCAATGGGAGTCGGGGGGGGGGGGTTCCTTCCAAGCCTCTTGTCTTGGGGAAGGACCTCCTATCCCAGCAGGATCTGGGGCAGGGCCACTTCTGGACAGAACAAATCACACATCAGTCATCTCATCCCCTAGCTCTGCATCTTCTGGTTCTCCTTCCTCCTCCTCTTCTTCCTCCTCCTCTGAGGTCACGTTGGGTTCATCAGCCTCTGCCAGGCATTTGGGGCAGGAACAGACAAACAGATAATTCTCCCTGCAGGGATGGGGGAATGATGAAGGTAAAAAGTCAGGCAGCTACTGGGATAGAGGAACCCACAGCCCAGCTACCCAACCATGTCTCCAGCTGGCACCTGAGGATCTTGTGGCGGCTGTGGCGGCTACGCTCCCGCTGACAGCAGTCTAGATAGCTGATACAGATTTCCTGTGGGGCAGAGGAGAGATGGGGTCTGAGGGTCTGTGCTCTGCATTCAATAGGATAAGGGCCTCCCCAACAACTGTCCTATCTCCAACCACTGCCCATCCCAGGGAGCCAGAACTGAGCTGCCCTTCAGTGAAGGGATGGGCTGCCCTAATCCATTCCATCATTCCTTCAGTGGGCAGGTGCTCTGAAATTTCAACAACCCATGTTTGAGGTTGAGAGGAAACTGAAGTTAGCCACTGACCATGGTGAAAGTCAGTAAATGGCCAACATCTATGGCTGAAATTGGAGGTTATCTTGATGTGAGGCTACATGGCCTGGAAGATGATTCCAATCAGGATCTGTGCACTGAGCTCACAGCCAAGACCCCAAACCCACACTAGCCACCACAGCTCAAGGCACAAAGAGCTACCTCCTGCTTTCTTAGGAGCTATAGATCTGTCCATCAAAAGGTGGCTGGGACAGGAACCTGGGAATATAGCTGTCCCTCAAACACTGCTCTAGAGTTATTTTTTGAAGAAGTGTTGTAGGGTTAGAACATGTGAAAAGAGTAAGGCCTTGAGGCGTATGGGATTCATCCAACAGCCTGAACTTTGAGGGGCTCTAGTTACTGCTGTTCCAGATCCCTGAAGATAACTTACCAAACCCACTGCCCACCCTGACCCCTATGGCCCTGGCCTCCCTCACCTCTCCTGGCTTAATATCCTCCAGGGCGGTCACATGCAAAAGGAAGTTGTTTTCTGGGAAGGAAGTCTCTGCATTAGGGACACAGCTGTGGTTGCCTGGGTCACAAGAGGAGTGTAATGAAGATTAATGACAACAATAACAAAAAAGTCTCTCAATTCTGCAGAGCATTTCCTTGTTCTCTGAACCCCGACAATCTGAGCAGGTTCTAGACCCCAGGTTTCCTGCCTCCACATCCACTCTTCTTCCCTGAAGACCATGGTGCACAGGCACAATGCACTGCCCCATCAATCCGGGCTCCAGTCTCTCAAGACTGGCCAACTTCAATCTCAGTTGTGTTCCCACTGTCTCACTAGGGGAGGGACAGGGCTCTGAAGGAATGCCTGCACCAGACCACTTAACTCAGTTCTGTCATCTATTGGATATGGTCCCAGCTTACTTGGGCCCTCTGAATAATCAGTTTGGGAGGCACAGAGTGGCCCTGAGGTCTAGGAGGAGGGGCGTGCTGTGAGGAAACCAGGAAGCTGAGGCCTAAGATCAGAAAAAGACAGTGTGGGAGCTGGTCCTGGCCCTCCCCGACATATCTGAGGAGACTTGCCTTCTAGCCTGAGCTCCCTCTGCCTAGGATCTTGCGGGCCTCCTGGACTCTTCCAACGCTCCCCTATCCCACAGGGCAGAAAAGTACAAAGCCCACACTTCCCCTTGCATGAAGTAGAGCTCTGTGCCTGCCTTAGGCATGGCCTGGTCCACTGTAAATTTTTATATATTAGCATCTATTAACTCGAGCAATGGGTTGGGGATGTAGCTCAGTGGTAGAGGGCTTTATTTGTACGCCCAAGGCACCGAGTTCCCTTACGAAAAGAGAACATACAGTTAAATAAATGACTGAAAAAATATAATGGAGTAAAAAGGCCCAAGGGAATCCCAAAGCTCAGCCTTAACCCCACTCCCAAACTCAACCCCACCAGCCTAGAAAAGGACCAATTGAGAAAGATAAAATGTGGTGGTGAGACCACCTGGCAGAAATGGGTGGGCTTGTGGGGCACAGTGGCGCACACCTGTAATCCCAGCCACTTGGGAGGCTGAGGCAGGAGGATCGCAAGTTCGAGGCCAGCCTCATCAACTTAGCAAGACCCTCAGCAACTCAGTGACACCCTGTCTCAAAATAAAAAGGGCCAGGAATATAGCTCAGTGGTAGAGAACCCCTGGATTTAAATCCCTAGTACAAAAAATAAAAGGAAGGAAGAAGGAAGAAAGAAAGAAATGGGTGGCCCATCCCTTCCAATGTCATGACTCACAGCAGCTCTGAAGCACAAAGAGGCCAGATCCTTCACAGTTAAGGAACTCGCCAGTTGCTGTAAGATAGTAATATACAGATAGTGTTCTACCCATTTTACAGGAGGGAGAAGAAAACTAGGCTTACAGGACAGGCACCAGCTCCAGTGACCTGCCACCTACCACACTAATGCACCCAGGCCCTACCTAAACTTGCTTCTCTGAGGCTCAAGCCTTGCTCTTCTGTCTGCAACATCACCCTATTTGTCCGGCACTCCCCCTCCTCCCAGCAGAGCCTCTGGATGGATCTCAGGGCCATTTCTCACCTGCATGTCCTGTGGACAGTTCTGAAGCATCCCATCAACCACCCCTTGCCATTAGCTCAGAGGTCCCTGGGAAACGACTATATCTATCATCTGACTGAGGGGTCTCCAAGGTTGGGTGAGGTCATGGCCCCATCTCACCAACCTGCCTCGATGTCCTTGTACAGCTGGTCAATGAAGGCGTCCAGCTGCTCGCGGTCCTGAGGCTTCAGCTCCAGAGCATCACAGGCATGGACCCACTGGCTCAGGGAGCTGAGGGTGCCAGGCAGCCCGTGGTTGGAGAGAAGGCCCAGGTCACAGGGCTCTCCACCTCCAGGAGAGTTAAGCCCAGGCAGAAGGATCTCCCATCCCATTTCTTTCTCTAGGGTAGGGGCCCCGTCTTCCCCAACATATCAAGGCCCCCAGGACAGACTCCACTGCTTCATTTCTCCCCCCTCCCCCCCCACCACATCCAGTTCAGTGCTCTAGCCAGAGTCACAACCTGCCCCACCCCAATGTTGAAAGAAGCTATGGCTACTTTCCTCGCTCAGTCTTCCACCCGAGCCCCAAGAGATCATGTAATAGCTCTAGGACAATCTCTTCTAACCTGGTCCCAATTCCTTGGCCATTTGTCCCAACAAGAGCAAAGAGAGACCGAAATCCATCTGGAGTGAACCACTGTGGGAGAGAGAGGAGATGAGCACTCAGGTTATAGCCACTTGTTTTTCTTCCTGATAGAACTCTGTTCAATAAGACTTCTGAGGGCTGGGGATATAGCTCAGTTGGTAGAGTACTTGCCTCACATGCACAAGGCCCTGGGTTCAATCCCCAGCACCACACACACACACACACACACAAAGACTCTGAGAGTCAGTCCCATCCTGGTTCCAGGAGACCCAGTAAGTAGGCTTTGGCTCAGCTGTTCTAGGAGAAGCTGATTCAGTTGCTCTTGGAGAACTGCAACAACCAGGAAGCCATTGGTCCCATCCTCCCCACACTTACCTGGCTAAGTGCTTCCTCATAAAGGGCTTCTGTGAAGAGTTTCCGCAGAAATTCCAGTTGGCCCTGGTTTAGGGGAGGCAAGGAAAGACTTGCATTTCTGGGGATTTCCCCTTAGCACCCAAGTAGGGCCTAGATGATCAGGTGAGGGAAGGAAAAAGGGGCTGCTTTCATCTTCAAAGAGCAGTCCGCTGGCCTGCTCCAACCCAGGGTGGTGAACTCAAACTTACTGTTTTCTGGTACTTGCACCAGCAAGGCAGAAGCAGCCTGGCTTAGAATATCTACCTTTGCTCCCCCACCCTGACCTTCAGGCCAGCTTGGTCCTCCTCTTCCTTCCTCTGAATTCAATATAGGAGGGCCCACCCCAGGCACATCCCTTCCACATAGCTGCCTCTACCCTCTCACAACTCTGTGTGGGAATCTGCTGTCTTCAGTAGGAATCTGTGCTCTGATTGAGAATGGATACTCAGCACATTGGCAGTTTCACAGTTCTCCCTGACCTTGAGGACCCCCAGCTCCACATTCTCCATTACACCTGATTTGCCACCTGCTAACCTCTGACAGGGGTCTCATTTTCACTTTCCCATATTGATCATTCTCAGGACAGGACATCCAACCCCTCCTTCCTCTGTCACCACCCTAGTTGCCCACTTCTCAAATTTTAGGTCCACATTAGGTCACAAAGATAAAGAGCAGTAGGAACTTAAGTCCTCTGAATGAGATTTTCAGGCCCAAGTTTTAACCCCTTCCTGTACCTGGAGAAAGACCAAATCTGGAGTTCCCCACAGGTAGTTGCAGTTCCTCCCTGGGCTATCTGGGAAGGGTGAGGGGTGAAGACAAGTCATGGAAGAAGACTAACCTTGAATTTGTCCCCCAGGAGTTTGTGGACAATTTCCTCTTCCTCGTTGGCTGTTTTGTTACAGAACTGGGAGAAGAGCCTGATCCAACGGTCCTTGTCCTTTGCCTGCAGTGGATAAATATACTTGAGGGCCTTGATCTGTTGGGGAGGATGGGGCCCCTACCCTAAAGAAAGAAATGGGGTGGTGGTGGGAAATCATTCTGCCTGGGCTTAACTTGCCTGGAAATTATATATTTTATATAAATATAAAATACATTTATATATATATATATTTTTTTTTTAAATATATTTTTACAATTTTATTTTTTTATGTGGAGCTGAGGATTGAAGCCAGTGCATCATGTGTGCTAGGCAAGTGCTCTACTACTGAGCTTCAACCCTAGCCCCAATATGTTTATATTTTATAAACATAAATAGAATGGTCACAGACACCCACCTCCTTACTGCCTATGTGAAATGGACAGTCAATGTTTTTAAACACTTGCCATCAGAGAATGATGACCATGCATGAGCTTCTAGGGTCCCTGCCTGTGCTTGAAACTTCATACCCACCCTGCCCACACCCAGCTATCTCCCCAGCAGGAACCAGGCCTGCCAGTGCAAAATACTTGGAAAATAGGAGAATGATGCTGAAGAATGATGGTATCCACGGAAGGGAGTTAGAGTGGCTTCTCTCACTTTATGTAAGAGATACAATCCTAAAAAAGTGATGCTTTATAAATCAATGCATGAATTGTTACCACACAATCTCCTCATAGGTCGAAGACAATAGGCAAAACAAGCTCCAGCTCCCTATGCCCAATGTATGTTTAATATACTCATACAGCTAGCTTTCTACAGCAAGCAGCTCTCCTTTAAGAGGTCAGGAGTAACTATCAAGCTAGGATATTGAGGTTATAGGAAGGATGAGGCCCAGAGTTGAATGGGGCAAGTTAGTTTCCCTGGAAGGGTCAGGGAGCTCACCTGCTTTACTGTGGCCACCATCCGGGCCATTAGCATGATGCTTGCAGTCTCAGGGGGGTAGTGAATACTCCTGGGGAAACAGAAAAAAATGTTCAGGCTAGAGCTGGACGTGGCGGTGCACACCTGTAATCCCAGCAACTCAGAAGACTGAAGCAGGAGGACTGCAATTCTGAGGCCAGCCTCAGCAATTGAGGGAGGCCCTAAGCAACTTAGTGTGACCCTGTCTCAAAATTTAAAACTAAGACTAGAGATGTGGCCCAATGGTTAAACCCCTGGTTCAATCCCCAGTTCCAAAGCCAAAATTTAAAATTAAATAAATAGCCAGGCAAGGTGATGCACACCCATAATCCCAGCGGCTTGGGAGGCTGAGGCAAGAGAATAGTGAGTTCAAATCCAACCTCAGCAAAAGCAAGATGCTAAGCAAATCAGTGAGACCTTGTCTCTAAATGAAATATAAAACAGGGCTGGGGATGTGGCTCAGTGGTTGAGCATCCCTTAGTTTGATCCCTAATACCTCCCAGACAATTAAATAAATAAATAAATAAATAGGGCTGGGGATGTAGCTCTGTGGTTAAGCACCCCTGGGTTCAGTCAAAAAAAAAAAAAAAAGTTCAGACTAGAAATTTTCTCCTTAAGTCAGGTGCAGTGGCACATACTAAAATTCCAGCTACTTGGGACAATGAGGCAGGATAACAAGTTCAAGGACAGCCTAGGCAACTCAGCAAGATCCTGTCTCAAAATTAATTTTAAGAAGAGGAGAGGAAAAGAAGCTTATTCTCCAGTAACTGAGTTCTGCAAAACTCAATCTGACCACTACAGAGGAATCTCCCTATTGATTCCATCAATTACCAAAGAGAGACAGTCATTGGCAGGACTTAGGCAGACTTTGCATCCCTATGGGATTAATGGGGCTCTTTTGGGGAGCATGTAAATGCTGAGAATGGCAGGACTGGCAGGCAAGACTCAAGGCAGGGAGTTGGGTGCTATGACTTTTGTCTAAGTGGAGGAAGATTCTGGGGAATGGTAACTAAAGAAATCTGTCAACATCTATTGAACCTAAGCAGGCAGGTAAGAAGGGAGGGATAAAGGAAAGAAAGAAGAAGCCTACCTCCATGCTTCCTGCAGCTTATTGAGAGGATGCAGGGGGTCATCCTGGGAGGGACCTGGGCACAGGACCCGGTGGTATTGTTCCGCAGCTGCCAGCTGACATTCCGCACTGCAGTACATTACCTATTAGGTGGGGAGGAGGTCAGAACCCTAGGATCTGGCCGTGGAGTAAGGAATGGAGGCACAGACATCCCCTTGGGTACTCACCTCCAACTGCATTCCTTCCACAAACAGCCTCTGGGCAGGAGCTCAGAGGATATTACAAGATGAAAAAATATAGAGGGTGCTCTGAGGGCATGCAGGAGGGCACCTAACATAAGCTTGTAAAACCACAGAATGGAAAGAGCGAGGCCCCCAAGAAAAAGGCAATCATCCATCAAGTCCATTTTCTGGACAATGAAATTGGGACAAAGAGCATGAAACTGAAATAATTACCAAGCCGTTCTAATGTCTTAACCTACATGTGGTTCTCAAGGGCCATGACCAGGTCTATCTGGGCTTTTGTCTCCCCAGTGAGGACTTCAACTAAGGCCTCCCACTCCCTCCCCTCTTCAGGTGAACTCCTCGGGATGGCTTACCTGGCAGTGGGGACAGTTCTGGTGGAGATCCTTGCGCACAGTGCATAACTCTGGATGAGGCAGAACCTGGCCTGGCTTCCCAGTCAGCCTCTGGGCATTCTCCTCTGCCTTCTCCAGTGCCCGTAGGCAGTGGTCACAGGCTGGGGTGAAGCCAGACATAGGAATGTAAGTGTCCCAAGAGGAGGGTGCCACATCTGTCCTTTGTACAGCAATATTCTCTGGCTAGAAGAGCACCTGGCATACAGTAGGTACTCCATAAAGTTTGGGGAATGAATTAGTGAATAATGAATGGAATTAATAAAATGAATGAATTTCATGTATCCAAAGGTGGATGATCCCTTCCTCCAGCTCAAGAACCCCCAGCCCCTCCTTCCAACTTTCCCTACTTATCCATCAGACTCAGTCTGTGGGGCTTCTCCTGCCAGCCCTAGGCTGGGTTTTTCCTACACTCTGGAGCCAACTGGCCCTCTTTTCATGCTTGTTCTCAGTTTAAGAAAAGTGTGAAGTGTGTGGCCAGCAAAGCTAAGGCATCCTACTTGCTCTGACCTCTAATTCAGACTGTTGAACAAGGGTCATACAGCTGCATCTTGGTGGGGGGTCCACTTTGGCATAGAGCCCTTCAGCATAACATATAGACCCTTATACTATGGGTCAAGACTGATTTCTGCCTGAGTGACAGCCCTCTCCCAGGGCTGAGGAGCCTGCTACTGCCCGTACACAGCCCCAAACTCCTGAGAGTGGACAGAGGTGTGGTTCTGGTCAGGTACAGTTCTCCAGAGGAAGACAGCATTTTCTCCCAACATCCACAATCCCAGAGACATCAGCCAGTATGAATGTATGCAGAGCTCTTCCATGTATAACAGTGACCAGGTTCAACAGCCATAAGGAATAGGTGAGATGTGCTCACCTCGGTACCGATAAAGTGCATTCCAGAGAAACTGTGCAGCCACCAGGGGCCTTTCTACGAAGATGGTCTCTCCCTTCCGGATCAGCTGTGTAGCAAACAGTCCCTTTCCCTAAAAGCGCAGAGAAGAAACAGGATGGTCATTAGAAAAGACAAGAGACATAGTTCCAAGGGCTCCCAGAAGGCCATCTGGCCCTACCTTCACATGCTCCTCTTGGCAGAAGCCTCAGGGAGAGTGGTCAATAGACTCCACAACTGCCTCCTCTGGAAAGGCAGCCGGGACCTACTTTCAGTTACACCTCTTTCAGTCCATTTAGAGCAGAAGGTCTTGCCTGGGAGGGAGTCACCACAGCAGCCATCTTAGGCTACTCAGGAGAGGAGAATTTTTAGAATTGCCAAAGCAAGGCCAAGGCTCTAGCAGGTTGAAGCCTCCTACACCAGGAGCCAGTAAGGCAAGGCAGGCTTTTTGGTCTCCCAGATCCCTCCAGATCCCAGCAGAGGTGCTGCTGCTTGGGATTACAGAGAACTCCACATCCTAGGAGAAGGAAACTCAGTTTGAGAGAGAACTGCTCTTTTCCTTAGTCAGCTGGATACCCAGGGTATCTAGCACAGTGCCAGGTACCTGCTCAAGGAATGCACTGAAAGGAATGAGCTAATCCTAGCACCAGCTCTAGTATTAATTTGATGTGAACTTTTGAGCCAACTGCTTTACATCTTTGCATCTGTTTCCCACATGAGAAGTACTGTAATAATATCTACCAGATGGTTTCCACGACGCAATAATATAACATAGGGGAATGTCCCTGATGAGCTATTGCTTCTTATTTTTCAATGTGAGGTGCTTGATTGTCACCATGAGCACTGCCTGGGACACTGTTAGAAATGCAGAATCCTAGGCCCCATCCCCGACCTACTCAATCAGAATCTGTGTCTTAAGATGTTCTGATGATTCCTAGGATGCTGAAGTCTGAGAAGTGCTGGTCTGTCACACTGTATACATTAGGTATACAACACTATATAACTCATGATGGAAGACAAGAAAGCAACCTGTGAACTGCCATCTCCCAAATGTGTACAAGGACTCAGGAGGTGGCTTCAGAACCCAGACAGTTAGTGGTCATGCTGGTCCTTACTCTGGCTATTCACTTAGAGAAGAGGGTGGTACTCTGCCAACACTGAACTGCCACCACAAAGGGAAAGGGAAAAAAGTGTTTGACACAGCAGTAAGATATCCTGTCACTGTGTCCTCTTGAATAGTTTCCCATGTCCTTTTAGCACTGGTGTTCTGGTAAGACAGAGATTCTGCCAAACTCAGAGCAGCAAAAATGTGTAGAACAGGACAGGCCCTGGGCAACCCATGAGCCACAAGACTCAACCCTTGGAACACCATTGGGAGCTCTCACGGTAGACTGGGACAGGTGAAACAACCAGGGACAAAGCATGAATGCATGCTTGACTGTCTTCCTGGAAACCCCACCCCAATACCTTATAGCCTGACACCCAATCTAGCAAAATGAAAACTTAGCTTCATCTACAGGACAAAGCAACATGAACAGGGGCTGGGGATGCAGCTCAGTGGCAAAGCACTTGCCTAGTAAGCACAAGGCCGTAGATCTGATCCCCAGCACTGCCTGATAATCATAATGATGATGATGATGATCAAGAACAACATTATCTCTGACAATTTCAAATCTCAATATTGGATAAATACAGATCTCCCTTTCCTTTTGTCTGGAGGATCAAATGCAGAAGATATTTAGAAATCAAAACAAAGGAAAAAGAATCAAAGTTGTTCCTTTATAATGCTACTCATTCCCAAAACAGATGAAAGTGTCTCAAGAAAAACAGTTCTACTTCATAATATGAAGGAGTATGAAGAACAGTGAACCTGAAGAGGAGAAATAATACAAACAGATTTGTAATTTGAAAAAGAAGTTTTAAGAAAAGACTATGCAAAATTCTTAAGACCATAGAGTAAATTTTAAAATCCTGATTAAATGATTTTCCACAAAAATACAAATGACCAAAACTGAATTTAAAAAAAAAAAAAAGGAAGCCTGGATAAACAAGCAGTGCTGAGATCTAGTGTACACCAGCATGGCATTCCAGTTGGCATCACCTAGACCTGATAAGGCTTCTGTCCCAACTGGTCATGTCCCTGGAATAACAGTTTGTACATTCTTGACAATCATCCTGCCAATATTTATAGAAGCAATAAAATAATAGAAAATTACCCCCACAAACAGGCCCCTCATCTACATACATGGTTTCATTAAACAGTTCTCTGAAACTTTCAAAGAACAAGGAATCTCATCTTATCCTAAACCAAGCAAAACCCTCATGTGGTAACCAGAGGAAGATGGCACGAAGAACAAAATCATAAACCAATCCTACTAATGATCACAGATGCAAAAACCCAGGACAATTCATCTTGTTATCAAACCCAAGTAGGTATGTAGATATGTGATTTTATCCAGCAGCAGATTAGGTAAAGGCCTAGAGAGGGTAACCAGCAAGGGGTCTTGATAAAAGGCAAGAAAAGTGGCTGAAGAGATTAAATAAGAAAGAAGTGAAGAAACGAGGGGGATGAGCAACAGTGGGAAGGGCTAATGAAGATAATAGTGAGCTAGGCATGGTGGCACATGCCTGTAATCCCAGCAACTTGAAAGGTTGAGACAAGAGGATTCTGAGTTCAAGGCCAGACTCAGCAACTTAGGGACATCTTGTCTCAACATAAAAAATAAGAAGGGCTGGTGATGTAGCTCAGTGGTAAAGCACTGCTAGGTTCAATCCCCAGTACATATATACACACATACACACACACACACTAGTGAATATTGCTGTAAACTAGGAGTGATATAATGAGACACTAAGACGCCATTAAACTGTGGGCCACCCAGTAGCACTAGAGGCTCCAGGTGGAGTAGAAGAAGTGAGCAACGAAGGAGACCAAGGATGCAGGGGAGCTGATTTCCCAAAAAGAATGCTCCAGATGCTTCAGAATGAGGTCAAGGGAAGCTTGGGCTGGTAAACTGGATCAACATGAAGACGCTGACAGCAGGAGACAGATGACTAGAGGGCTAATATCTTGGGCAAGGGCCAAGGATACATTCAGCCACTACATGTTATTAATTATTCAACCTCAGTATTACCCAAAGAAATGTAAATGAGAACAAAGCAATACCATTTTGTACATATCAACTGGCAAAGATAACTGAGAAAGAAAATAGTGTTGGAGAGAATAAAAGGATGTCTGCACAGAAATTAACTCCAAGACCTTTGATCCCAAAGGTGAATAAGATACAACATAAAGTGCCCATAAACCAGGGTTTGTTTGAGTGAACTTGGCCTTACCGTGGAACAGGCTCCACTCTTAAAAATTAATATGTAGAAATAGGTTTATTGATGTTAAAAGAGTCACTGCTGCATCATAAAAGCAGTTTCTAAAAATGTGGTTTTAATATATACATATTTGCACAAGTATTGGATTATGAATAATTATTGTCTTTACTTCCTTATATGCATCTTCTATTTTCTTTCTTCTACAACGAACTTCTAAAACATGACATCCAAAACGACCACATCATGTCATTCGTGTTTAAATTCATCAAATAATCCCAAGGCCTTTGGGTTTGGTCCAAGTTTCCCAGCACTCAAAAACCCTCTGTAAAGAGTCCTGACCTCTCTCCTTATTCTCCCACCCATATTTCACTCAGAAAGGTCCAGAGGACCCAGGTTTTTATATTTCTCAGTTGCCTCTACCCATCGCGTCCCTGCCAACCGCACCTGGGGCCAGCAGCAATGCTCCCTGCCTAAGCTAGGAGTCCCAGAGCCCACACCCCTTCCCCCCACTGCCCCGTGGGCCTGCCCGGAGCAGCCTCAGCAGGGCCGCCGGGTAGAGGACCAGGTTCCGCCAGGCGGAGGGCGCGCACCGGGACTCCAGAGTCCGGGGTCCATCATGTAAACGCTCCACGAGCTTGGGTACGGGGACAGACAGGGAGCTCCGGGCCGCAAGCTGAGGCCGGGCTGCAGTGTCCATGCTACATTAAGAGCCTCTAGGCTCTGAGCATGGGTGCCCGAGGCTATCTCCAAGACCGGACGGGGTTGGGGCTCCAGGCGGGACCCTCTCCGACCTCACCTTGGCGCTGCTCACAAAACGGACTTCCACGGCGCTCCGGGCCTGGCCCGCCACGCCCACGCAGAAAGAGAACACGTCGCACATGGAGGCCGCCATCTTGGGCGCGCCTCCGCATTCTGACCCTTGACCCCGCCTCGACCCGTGAGGCCCCGCCCCCTTCAGCCCCTCCCGGGGCGTGAGTGCCTGAGAGGCGACGAGATTCGGCTAGTCAGAATTTTGGTCCTCGGGTTGTTTGAGTGGGTGTAGAAGGGTCTGCTTTTGTGCTTTTCCATCTGCACAGTTCTGTGCCTGTGTCTTCATAGCCGGCATCAGCGTCCTGTGTGCTTCCGTAGTTTTGATGTACCTAAGTCCAGGTTCATGTTTATGTGTCCACACAGTTTATGTGTCCACACAGTGACTTGTTTTGTGAAAATCGCTCTTTGGACCAGGCTTGGACACAAGGGGGCCGGGCGGGGGCCGCAGAAGTCCGACATTCCTATTCTCATCCTGAAGGGAAAGACTAGTTCTGAAAAACCAAGCTGGACGAGCGCCTCTCGCCTTCTCCAGGGGTGTAAGAACCATGCCAGGCTGGGTTGGTAGAGCAGTCTACAGTGGACCTAGGGGCCCCTTAAATTGGATGCAAAAGTGAATGTGCGCATACGTTGTTCTGAGTCCGCAAGAGGGGCACGTTGTCTCGTTCAGGACCCAGAAACCGCCAACCTCTGACCTATAACACCTGTCCCTACAACTAGACCTGGTGACCACCGTGCCTTATTTTGTTTCCTGGTCCTACAATTGATTGAACTCCTTAAAAAGGGACCTGTGTCTACACCTGCTTTGGCCTTATGGTGACATTTGGGAATTGTGTAGAGCCCCGTGAATGTTGAATAGGTAAATGCTCTATTGTTTGTTTGTTTTAATTTTTAAAGTGAGCCATTTGTTCATGAAAGAGGAAACTGCAGCTGGACTCCTTGGACCAAAACCCAAATTAATGGTATTTTAAACCATGGAACCATATCCTTGCCTATAATTGGGGTCAATGAGCCATTGATTAATAGAATTGACTTTGGGTTCAGCATAAGGATTTTCCTGAAGACAGGGATAGAGAAGGATTCTTGAAGCTAGATCCAGGCTCCTCTCAAGTCTGCCACTTTGTGTCCAGGAGTCCACTGCTTTAGGTAAAGATTGTTTTCCAAGGCCGCCCCAGCTCCCTTCCTTTCTTCCGTTCATTCAGAAAACTGAGAGCAGCTAGAGCCTGGCTTCTCACCACCAGGTGGCAGAGCCGGCCTCCTTCCACACTCTCCCTCAATCCCAGGACTGGCTCTAGAACTAATGATCTGTGCTACAGAAATCAGCTCTGAAGATGCTGGTGGCTGTCTTCAAGGGAATAAGCTCTCAGCTAGCTTCCTAGAGGAAAACAGAGCAGATTCCTGGGAAGGAAAGGGAGCCATGAGTCAGCAGCATGAAGGGGAAACACAAACTATCCTATGAAAACAGGCAAGTTTATGATAAAGTGGAGTCAAATTTCTGTATTCCACATAAAGATGGTGGGGGGATGGATGAAGCAGGGAGCTGGCAGTGAGGGTAGCATGTTGCTCCAAGAGAGGCAGCCGAGAGATGGTAATTGTTCAGACAAAACAGGAAAACTTTGGGAAACTGAGAAATAAGCCAAGTAGTCTACCTTTTGATCCTCCTTGCTCTTAATTCTACCATCTCTGGTGGAGAAATCCAGAACTGATTCAGTGAGGTCCCCTTTCTAAAGTCAGGCCAGAAAAAAACTGATTAATCCCTGGGCAGCCTGGGCTGCTGCAGATATCACTCTCCCCCTCCCCTGCCACTTACACCCTATCCCCACTGGGAGAGCCTATAAGCCTTAACAATTACCACACACTTTCCACTGGTCCTGGCACATTGTAAGTGCTTTACAGACATCACCTCACCCCTTTATAATCACTTATACAGATCAAGAATAAAGGCTCAGGAGTTTAGTAATTGGCCAAGTTTATAGCTTATGGCCAAAGTGTGTGCCTCTGACCACTACATTATTATGGCTCTCAGGGGTTGATATAGAAAAGGGGACTCCTGCATGACAGTTCAAATTCCTCTGTTGCTCCCTGGCCCTGAGGAGGCTCTTCATTGAGATGTGGGCAGGAAGGTCCATTGATTTCCCCTAGAACTAGACCAAATAGCACAGGTAGAGTGTCTGTCCTCAGCTGTCCACTCCTGACTCCACATCTTCACTCTGGATGCTGCTGTCAGAACTGCTGGAGGGCTCGTCCAGGGAGGTGGCCATAGCAGACATGGCTGGCAGTTTCAGCTTTTGCTGCTTCTGATACTTGACCCTGCGGTTCTGGAACCAGATCCTCACCTATCATTGGGATCAATGAGCTGACATCAGAATGTGACCAGCAGGTCCCTTTCCTCCCCCAGTCCCAGAGTACCCAACCCTTGGTGTCTGGCCAAAATTTGTTCCTCCTGCTAAGGGAAGCATCTCCTCCAAAATGCCCTTTACTATAATCCCACTTACAATTCATCCACCTAAACCAGCTCCTAGACACCATCCTAGGTAGTGGTGATATAGTGGTGAGCAATAGAGGCATGGTCCCTGCCCTTTTGGAGCGCACAGTAATAAATGTAACAAACCAAAATATATAAATGCAAATGAGGGTAGAAACAGGGGTTTGGGTTGGGGAAGTTTTCCTGAGGACCCAACACTAAGGGTTAGAGAATGAGAGGTCAGCCTGGTGGGGATAGAGAGGAATAGGCCAGACTGTAGGAAGGATCTGAGTTGGCACCAAACTTGAGTGTTTGAGAACCAGAAAGAAGGAGAATGTGGCTGTTAATAAGAGGGGAAAGAAAAGGGAGAGGAAGTGGGAGAAGTTGGCGGGGGCCATAAAAACCAGGACCTAGGTGGGCCATGGGGAAGGAGTGTCACTTTTGAGGCTTTTAATTGGGACATAACATAGTTCTGTTTACAGTCTTGAGTGAATTGCACATGGTTGAGCTGCTGTGTGAAGAACAGATGGAGGCAGAAGCAGGGAGACAGTTTGGAAGCTATTGCTTCGATCTGATGAGAACCGGGATATAAACTAGGGACAATGAAGCAATTCCATCTGCATTTTGGAGGTAGAGGTGACAAGGTTTGCTGATGGTTGGAAATGGAGAAGGAGGAATCTAGAATGAATTAGTGTTTTGAACAACTGGATGAATGGTGAGACCTGGATGAATGGGAAATGGAATAGATTTGAAGGGGGAATCAGAAATTGAGGTTCAATCTTGTGAAGTTTGAATTGCCTACCCTTAAAACACCTAAGTGGAGGGGTGGGAGGGAAAGGGACGGGGCAGGGGGTTAGCAATGATGGTGGAATGTGATGGACATCATTATCCAAAGTACATGTATGAAGACATGAATTGGTGTGAACATACTTTATATACAAACAGAGATATGAAAAATTGTGTTCTATATGTGTAATAAGAATTGTGATGCACTCCACTGTCATGTATCTAAAAAATAAAAGCAATTTAAAAAAAAAACACCTAAGTGGGAATGTTAACAAGGTGTAATACTAGTCAGAAGAGAAGACTGGGCAGAGGATAGAAATTTTGAGAGTCATTTGCTTATAAATAGTATTTAAAACTGGGAATAATTGCCGGGCATGGCAAATATTATATTATCACCTATAATACCAGCAGCTGAGGAGGCCAAGACAGGAAGATTGCGAGTACAAGGCTAGCCTCAGCAAAAAGCAAGGTACTGAGCAACTCGGCAAGGCACTGTCTCGAAAGAAAATACAAAATAGGGCTGGGGATGTGGCTCAGCGGTTGAGTGGCCCTGAGTTCAATCCCTGATACCCAAACAAACAACAACAACAACAAAAAAAAAAACCTATGGGAATAGATGAGAATAGAGCCCAGCTACCAGCGGGGCTCTCTTTTTCCCCACAGCTGAGAGAGATTTTTGAGGTCCCAAAGGGAAGAGCAGCCTGAAAAGGAGATAGAAATGGCCAGAGAGCAGGAAGAAGAATCAAGTGTGTGGTGTCTCTTAAGAGAAGAATGTGTTAGCTGGATACCATGATGCACGCCTATAATCCCAGTAGCTCTGGAGGCTGAGGCAGGAGGATTGAGAGTTCAAAGCCAGCCTCAGCAACTTAGGCCCTAAGCAAGTCAGTGAGACCCTGTCTCTAAATATAAAATAGGGCTGGGGATGTGGCTCAGTGGTTAAGCAACCCTGAATTCAAACCCTGGTGAGAGAGAGAGAGAATATGAATGTGTTTCAGTAAAGGAAGGAGTGGCCACTGTACTGAGAGCTGCTGAGTGGTGGCTTTGGCAACATGAAGGTCATTGAGAACTTGCTGAGAAGTTTTAATGGAATGGGAAGGAAAGTATTCATACTGGAATGAGTCAGAGCAAATGGGAAGTGAGGACATGGAGACAGTGAATGTAGCAAGTTCATGAGAAGTTTGCTTGTGAAAGGAGCAGAGAAATGACACAATAGCTGGGGGGAAATATGGGAGTCAAGGTAATCTTTTTTATTATTTTTTTAATATTTAGTCTCTTGAAAATGCCTACTAGGGGCTGGGGATATGGCTCAAGTAGTAGCACGCTCACCTGGCATGAGTGAGGCACTGGGTTCAATCCTCAGCATCACATAAAAATAAAAATAAAGATATTGTATCCACCTAAAGCTAAAAAATAAATATTAAAAAAAGAAGATGCCTACTTAATTTTTCTGATAGTACTTTAGCATAGAACACTTTATCAAAGTTTTAGATTAACTTTGTATGTTATTCCCACAACTATTTTTCTCATTACATAGGGAGTGTGTAAAAAACTAGGGCCTGTCTCCCAACAGCTTGGCCCAAAGATGGTCCATGTCTTCCTCCCACTCCCGACTTAGGGTCTTCCAGAGTTGGTATCTGACCCCAGATGCAACCCAGGCCCCATAGGACTCCCTGCTCCCACCTGATTCTCTGTAAGGTGGAGCCGGGCTGCCAGCTGGGCTCTCTTCTTCCCCACCAGATTGTGCTGTTTTGCAAACACTTTCTCCAACTCTTCCAGCTGCTCCAAGTTAAACATAGTTCGAACCCTCTTTTGATGTCTCTCAGTGTCCTGAAGGTCCTCGCTAGGGGTCCAGTGCGGGGAGCCCCAGAGGCCTGGGCAGTGAGCCAGTTCCAAGCCTAAAGAGCAACCATCAGCAGAGGAGAGTCAGCCAGCAGCTACCTGCCAACCCATCTTGGAAGGGAGAGAACAAACATGTGGTTCACTTCCTGCCTCCCCCTTGGCCAGGTAACAGGGCAAGAAGACGGAGTGGGAAGAAATTATGTGGAAACAACCCAAAACAGATAAAAAAGAAAGAACAGTGAAATGTGACTCCTTTTTCTTCTTCCTCTCAGCCAAGTGGCTTAACTTCTGGCCCCTAATAGGAGTTGCCAAACTCCTTCCTCCTCATCTTGCTTTCTTTCCTTGACTGCTTGGAAAACTCCAAGGGATGGGCAGAAATATCCAAAATATCACCCTTTTCATTCATTCAACAAATACCTTTTGAATAGCTGCTATATGTTAAACACAGGAAATGCTGTAGTCATGGAACTCACATCTTAGAAGTGGGTAAGCAGTAAATAAGTAAAACATTTAATATGTCAGATAGCAGTAAGTGCTAAGGAGTGGGTAAGTGGAGAAGCAGGGACAGGGTGTATATGCATGGGAGAGGGTAGTTTACATCTTTAACATTTGAACAGGTCCACTATGTATAGCTTTTGCACATAGGTACCCAGCTGAGAGGGTAAGTGGGTGTGAAAATCTGCCCACTCTCTGCAGGCCAACTCTTGCCCCTAACAAGGGGCTATGTCTACCTGGAGGAAGTGATGCCCTTTTCTAAGGGACACAAAAGTTTAATTCAGCTCACCAACTTGTGGTCCAGTGGAGGTACATCTACCAGGGAGCAGTACCTGACTCTGTGTGAGAGGATGAAGGAGTGAGCTGTTGACTTATCCCAGAGGAGAATATTCTGGGCAGAGAAATGCCAAATGTAGTGCTAAGGCCACTCAGCTTCCACTAGTCTTGGAGAGGCCTCACGGCTAACAGACAGACTGCTCCAGTGTAGGGATTGGGGCTGGTATCTCAGCTGCCCAGGATTCCAACCACTGGGCTTACCCAATTTACCATGTGCCTGCATGAGGTGAGACCAGGCAAAGCCCAACAGGTATGCAGCCTGGTGTATCTAGTCTCTCCTGCCTTGTTTCAAAATCTGAAGTAGTAGAACCCTTCAAGAGGAAATTAGGCTGCATGTGATCCTTAAGAGTTTTACTTGGAATCTTAGCTCTGCCATTAGTTACCAGCTATAGGGCCTCAGGCAAGTCAATATACCTCTGTGGGCTTGATTTCCTCGTATATAAAATGGTGATAATAATCCATACTTACAGATGTCACAAGGTGCTTAGTGCTATGTCAGGTACAGAGCAAAAGGAAAGTCAATGATGATTTTAAAAACCTATAACAACACAATAGACAATGCAGTGGGGGAAGGGGTGGATTATTTCCAGATATGGGAAGAAATAAGCCAGTACCATATCTCATAGCTTGCACCAAGAAAATTTCCAAATGAAACAAATATTTAAATGTAAAAAAGTATACCCCTGCCAGGTATAGTGACTTAGAAGGCTGAAACAGGAGGATCCCAAGCTAGGAGTCAGCCTGGGAAAGTTAGCAAGACCCTGTCTCAAATTAATTAAATAAATATATATATATATATATATATATATATATATTTTTTTTTTTTTTTTTTTAAAGGGCTGGGAATATAGCTCAGGGGTAAAGTGATAGTGGGGCATGGTGGCACATGCCTGCAATCCCAGCTATTTCCTGCCTCTAGCTGAAGCAGGAAGACCACAAATTCAAGGCCATCCTGGGCACCTTACTGAGATTCTGTCTCAAAATAAAATAAAAAAGGACTGATGACAGAGCACCCCTGGATTTAATCTCCAATATTGCAGTCAGACATGGTGGCACACAGCTATGATCCCAGTGACTCAGGAAGCTAGTCTCAGCGATTTAGCAAGGTCCTAAGCAAATTAGTGAGACTCTGTCCCAAAAAATAAAAAGGTCTGGGAATATGGCTCAGTGGTTAAGTGCCTTTGGGTTAAATCCCCAGTAAAAAACAAAGCAAAACAAAATCAGTATTGCAAAAAAAAAAAAAAAAGTGAAAAAATTAATACATTCAAACACATAAAAATGAAAATTTTTTATGTGACAAAAACAAAAACCATAATCAAAGTGAAAAGACAATAATCTGAGAGAATATTTACATCTTATTACAAAGGGCTAATTTTCCTAATATAAAAGGAACTAGCTGGGCATGGTGGTGCACATCTGTAATCCCAGCAACTTTGGAGGCTGAGGCGGGACAATAGGAAGATTGAGGCCAGCCTCAGAAACTTAGACCCAAAATAAATAAAATAATAATAATAAAGGTCTGAAGATGTTACTTGGTCATAGAGCACCCCTGGGTTCAATCCTCACTACCGGGAGCCAGGGCAGCTCCAAATAGATTGTTATAAATGTCCAGTTAGAAAAACGGGCTAAGTACACAGAAAAGGAAATAAAGATGGCTATTAGACATTAAAAAAAAAAAAAAAAAGAGCTCAATCTAAAAGCAACCCAGTAGTTTGATGTCCTAAAACAAAAGCTGCTAAAAGTCATGGGGAGACCAACTGAGGAGTACAACTAAGTGATTGGTTGGAACAAATTCATCCAGGGAGTTTTATCTTTTCAAGTATCATATTCACTCTGGGAAACCTTGTTTTCCCATGTTTTAGAGCATGCTTGGTTTTGTTTAAAACTGGTTAAAATAAGTGTTATTTCCAGGTGAAAAAAATGACTTTTTTGGTTTGATTTGAGGGTAAAAAGGGGAGCAAAAACTTTGCTCTTTTAATTTGATAACTATGTTTAACCGAAGATGAAGTATTTGATTATTACAATAAGTAATTAGCAATAAGTGGTTAAGTGCCTTTGGGTTCAATACCCAGTAAAAAATCAAATTAATTCTAAACATCAGTACAATACTCTTAGTTATGGTAAAGTTGTCTTAAGATGAATGGCTCATATTTTGGTGCAGTGTTTGGTGTTAAAAACAAAATGTTGCAACAATAAACAAACTGAGAAAAAATGCTCAATCCCACTTATATTTGAGAAATGCACACTGAATCATTTTTTTCCTTCTATTGCATTGGCTCTATTTCAAAAGTTGAATAACACCCTGCATTGGTGAGGTTGTGGAGAAAAGGGGCACTCTTATACTTAGCTGGTGGGAGTGAAAAGGGGATACAAGATCTGTGGAGGACAATCTGACAAAACTACAAAAAGCATCTACCCTTTAAGCCAATGATTCCAGCTATTCTTGAATATCTTATGTGCAGATTATCCATCACAGCACTATGTATAATAGCAAATGAAAAATCAATTGGGCTAGATCAGTTATCTTACATTCTTACAGTGAACTACTCTGTGGTTGTAAAAGAAGCTCTTTATTGGACAGGAAATGCCTCTCCAAGATATATGATCAAGTTAAAAGAATAAGTGCAGAGCAGTGTGTATGGTATGCATAGGGAAAAGGGGGAAAGAATAGTTGTATGCACTAAGATATTTTAATATGCACAACTACACCCAGAATTAAGTGGTTAGGGGACAAGAAGGGAAAGAGGAAACTTTCTCCATAGATCTTGATATACATTTTGAAGTTTGGATGTGTGAATATAATATCCATGGGAAAACCAACTTGAAAATTAGACAATTGGAACATAAATTAGCAAACTGCAATTCATCCCTCAGGTGTGTGGAGAGCTAGTGAAAGGGACTTGGAGGGATGGACAAGCTCTCAGAGAGTGTGAATCTGGATCGGCTTGGGAGTCCAGGTGTTAATGCGCTGATGAAAGGGGTTGAGGACATGCAAGGCGAGGGGGTCCCAGGAGTAGGAACCAGGTAAGACTGTGTTATGATGATCTTGTTATGGGTTAATGAGGCTTGACTACTTTGCTCCTGTTTTCTTCATGGGGACATGGGGAAGCATGAAGCAGGTGTCCCAAGCGGCAAAAGGTTAATGCTACAGGAGAAGTGTTACCTCAACAGTTAAATTCCCACTGGCATTATGTGCCTGTGCAGCAGATCTGCTCAGGTACTATTTTAAGACCGCTGTAAGCAGGCAGGCTCAGAGAGGTTAAGCGTGGAGTCCAAGTTCCTATAGATGTGAGCAGCAAGGGACAGGGGTAGAATCTCGGCCTTTGCCAGCTAACAGGTCCCGCATCACGCATCACGCATCACGCATGCATCCCCTTCTCAAAGACCAGAGCTGTGGATTTGGGACCATGCAGCTTTAGGGAAGTGTTTGTGCCAAAGCGGGTGTGGGGCAGAGTCCGGAAGGAGGAGACTGGGAGCAGGGTTGGGTCTCCTTGCATCCCCAGCACTGGGTTACCGACCCAGTCTGTCGAACACCAGCACCTCCCGCTCCCACCTCAGCGACCCGCGGGGAAACCTCGCGTCTCAAACTCAGGTACTTGTCTATTCCAGTGTGAGGCCTCCACTCTCCATCCCCTGACCAATTACCCCGCACGGGCGCTCTGTCCCGCCGTACCTGTGACGCCGAGGCCCTGGAAGCCGCAGAAGTGAGCCATGCGCAGCCTAGGCACAGCCGGCTGTGGGCACAGCGGGTAGACACCCACTCTCAGGTAGGCGGGCAGCCAAGTTGCTGGGCACGCCCAGGGCAGAACTGGGGCAGGAGACTGAGAGGGAGCGGTCCAGAGGCCCAGGGCCGCGCAGGAAGAGACTGGCGGAGGGGAGGTCACCGGCGCGCGGGCGTCGGGCTTAGCCAGGATGGCTTCTACAGAGAAAGAGGACTCTAGGCGACCGGTGGACTGGGGCGTGCCTGGGCCCGCCATGCAGCCAGAGAGCGCGGGTGACGCGGGAACCGGAGAGCTGCTGTCACGCAGGGGCTGGACCTGAGTGCCCAGGCCAGTCGGCAGCGGGCGGCCTAGCTGCCCCGGGCTGGGCAGGGCTTGACCCTAATCGGGATGGGAGCGGAAGGGTAGCAGGGGCCTCTGGGGCTGTGTAGGAGCGCGAAAGGCGAGTAAGAAGACCCTACACGAGGGGACGAGCAAGACTTGCCCTGGAACTAGAGCCTCAGCTGCTGGCGAGAGCTCTTAAACTTCGTGGGGCGGGACAGGGCGGGGCGGGGCCCCCCGCCCCCAACCTCCAACCCTCGCGGCACGGGCGGGGTCTTCTAAATCCGTCGCTGCACCCTACTCCGGGGGAAGCAAGGTGGGCACAGCGCTAAGGATTCTGCTCTCTCCCTCCCATCGCATTTGAAAGCGCCCAGCCGCCGGCACGGTTGCGCACGTCTATAATCCCAGAGGCTCGGGAAGCAGAAGCAGGATGATTGCAGGTTCCAGGTCAACCTGGGCAATTTAGCAAAAATCTGTCTCAAAATAAAAATAAATAAATAGATCTGGGGATGTGGCTCGGCGGTAGAGCGCCCCTGGGTGCAATCCCCTCTGCCAAAAATAAAAATAATAATAATAAAAACTAAAAGTGCCCACTCCTGTGCTGTTGGGGGAAAGACCTTGAGCTCACTATTATTATTATTTATTTATTTATTTTTTGGTACTGGGGTTGAACCCAAGGGCGCTGAGCCACACCCCAAGCCCCCTTTAAAAAAATATTTTTATTTAGAAACAGAGTTTTTCCTTAGGGCCTTGCTAAGTTGCTAAGTTGCTGAGGCTGGCTTTGAACTTGCAATTCTCCTGCCCCAGCCTCCCTAGCCACTGGGGTTTATAGGCTAGCGACACCAGGCCCATCTTTCTAGGAATTTTCTGTGCCTGCACACATAGGTCCTCACAGGAAAGAACTTTCCTATGTCCAAAAAGATGTGGAATGGGGGGGGGGGGGGGGGGAAAAGGAAAAATTTTAAAAAAAAATTCAGAGTATTGTAATGAATTTGAATAAGAAATCTAATTCATTGCCAATACGTAGGAGTTCGCTGCCTTATATGAGTATGACTTGCAGTATATGGGTACAGGGCAGGCATTTGCACTCTCATTTTACAGATAGATAATCAGTACTTTATAACTGTTGTCCTTAGGCAAGTTACAAGTTAGTTTGTATTTCTTACCTGTAAAATGGATAATAATGGCTACACTGGGGTTCCAATGAGGATTGAATGAGTGAGTTAGTATATGCAACACTTTTAGTATTAGCCTGGTATGTGGTGAGCTGCAGGATATGATTGTGGGGCTCCTAGGGATTCCTGATTCCCAAGCTCCCATTGCATGCTCTCTTGCTAAATTGATACCTACACTGAAACTACTCAATAATGTTGTTATGGTTTGGATCTGAAATGTCCCTCAAAGGCTCATCTGTTGAAGGCTTGGTCCTCAGTGCAGCAGTGTTTAAAAGTTGGGCTTTGGGGAAGTGCTTGGATCATGAGAAAACTGATCTTATCAATTGATTGATCCATTGATGGGTTCATAATTAAATGGATTATTGAAAGGTTGTGGGGCCTAGTTGGAGAAAATAAGTCACTGGGGGAGTGTATACTTGTCCCTGGCTTGCTGTCCACCCCTTCACCAATGCCATGGAGTGAGCAGGTCTGTTCCATCACACTCTCTTTGGCTATGATTATTTGGGATGCAAACATGTCCCTTCTTCTTGGACAGGTAGGAGTTAGAGGAACCTTCCACCCCTTTCAGCAAATACCAGCTGCCTTCTGATCCACCCTGAAAGCAGCCTGGGAAGTGAGGTTATCCAGGGTGAAATGAGGGAGGAATGGCAGGACTGGTCCCAGCTCCAAGCTTACTGTGTTCCAACCAAGGGGTGCTGGGTCAGAGAGGAGTAAATAGAGCAAGAGAAGTTAACTATGAACTGGGACCTGGGCACAGTACCACATGCTTGTAATGCCAACAACTCTGGAGGCTGAGGAAAGAGGATTGCATGTTCAAGGCCAGACTGGGCAATTTCACAAGTGCCTAACTTAAAAACTTAAAATTTAAAAAAGAGGCTGGTGATGTAGCTCAGTGTTAAAGACCCCTGGATGCCACCTCCATCACTCCCCCTGGGTGGGGAGAGAGAAAGAAAGAAAGGGAGAAGAGAGAGAGAAGAGAGAAAAAGAGAAGTTAACTATAGTCTTGGTTTAAATCTGCCTAGTATTTGGTTTAATTTACATTTATTTGAAGACTGTTTGTGGTGAACATCTTTTCATATGCTTATCAGCCACTTGGACATTTTCTTTTGTGTGAAGTGCCTGTTCCAGTGGTTTGCTTATTTTTGTATTAGGTCCCTAACTTTTATTTTTATTTGTTTACTGATTGGTTTTCCCTGGTACTGGGGAATAAACCCAGGGGCGCTCTACCACCAAGCTATATACTCAGCCCTTTCTTTTCTTTTTTTTTTTTTTTTTTTTTTTTTTGAGACAGCATTTCACTAAGTTGCTGAGGCCAGCTTGGAACTTGCAATCCTCTTGCCTCAGCCTCCTGAGTAACTCAAGCAAAATACATCTGTGTCCCAAAAGGCAGTGAAGGTGTCTGAAGTCTGGGGTCACTGCACTCTAGGTCTGCAATCCTGCAGAGTCATCTATGAGTTTTATTGGTTCTGGGGGTTGATGGATTAAAACAGGCATCTTAGAAGCCTGATATTTAGCATGTGAAGCACATAAATACTTTACCTTGGCTATACCTGGTCTTGGCCATTAGCAGTCCTTCTGGAATTGAGTTGTAGTAGTTTTGCTTTTGACTTTAATCCCTTGATTTGGGAAAACCGAGACCTTTCCTGTTCTCCCCCTTGATACTCAGGATCCATCACTCCAGTCAGTACACTAATCCTTTTTGTTAATTCACTGACAGAAGAAGTCCAAAATAGCCAGGGGTAGTCTTAACTTCCAATTCAATGGAACCACTGCTGTTTCCCCTATGGAAACACTTCTCTCTTGGTAACTAAGGCCTCTAAATAAGCAGAGCTCCCAGTTTTAGAGGTAGAAAGCATAAGTTTTGCTAGATAAACACACTGTGCTGTATTGATAGAATCTGTTCTCATTTCTATCCTCTTCTTCCTGTTCAGTTTGGGATTTCCCTTAGTGCCATATGTTGGTTGCTGGTTTAGAGCACATCCTGCAGCCTGAAGGACATTACCCAAGTTCTGCAAGAAGTTGCCACCCAGCTGGTGCCATAAGCAAGCCTTGAGGAACATGGTAAGACCAATGAGTTCCATGAGCCCGAGGCTACTGTTGCCCTTCATCTGCTGTGAAATAAATTCTTTGATCAGAGCATTGCTGAAAATAAGGCATTCTATAAGCTCACAGATGGTAACTTTGGCAAAAGACAAATCTGTGTCATAAGAAATGGATTTTTCAATGAGAACAAAGCAAAACTTCTTTCTATGTAACCAGCCAGCCACCAAGTGGATGGTTGACTTTCACAATGGAAGTTCAGTGTTTATCCCAGTTGATAGGAGATTTGGGTACTCAGCAGTGACTGTAACCAGATTGGCCTTGGTAACTGGGTACCCATGTTACTAAGCCCATGCCTGACCTCCATCCCTCCCACCATGGCCACATTTTTCATGAGCCCATTAGAATAATGTAGGGTCCCAGCTTGAGTTGACTACAGCCATCAGGAGTTGAAACCACCATGATTTCCCCCTGAGTAATCTTGGCCTGTTTCCAATCACTACCACCCTGCAGAGTTTCCCAGCATACTATCAGTAAACAAAACTATTAAAATGGTATGTGGCATTTTATGACAGCTCCTGGCACTGTTAAATGTTAATGTGAGATAAATCAGGTGATTCCTCTGAATTCATTTTTTTAAAAAAATATATTTTTAGTTGTAGATGAACACAATACCTTTATTTTGTTTATTTAGTTTTTTTTTTTTTTTTTTTTTTAATGTGGTGCTGGGGATCAAATGCAGTGCCTTGTGCGTGCTAGGCAAGCACTCTACCACTGAACTATGTCCCCAGCCCCCTGAATTCAATTTTGTCCTACCATTATAAAACTCTCTCTGTTTGACCCAAATTGTGGGGATCCACTGGTTTTACTGCCATCCTCTGTCAATAAGCTGCACTCTGGGTAATCCTCAATCTGTCTCTTTTTCAGTCTCATGGTACTTTGTGGTCAGGTCTTTTATACCATGTTTATCCAGAACAAGTAACCACATCTAGTTTGTCTTCGGTGATTGAATACCAGTACATGGTCCTGCTGACGTGGGATCTTATCATTCAGGTAGCCCAGCTTTATGGCAGAAGTTTCTACCATCACTTCTGGCCTGCAGGAAATAGCCACTATAGAGTTCTTCAAGGACATCAGGGCTTTACTCATGAATGTGTTTCTCACAGGCATGGTAAAGGGAGTATTCTCTGGATCTTCCTGAGCACATAGTAAGAGACAATGAACAGGGCTGGGGATGTGGCTCAAGCGGTAGCGCGCTCGCCTGGCATGTGTGCGGCCCGGGTTCGATCCTCAGCACCACATACAAACAAAGATGTTGTGTCCACCGAAAACTAAAACTAAATAAATATTTAAAAAAAAAAAAAAGAGACAATGAACAGTTTCTATGATAAATCTGCCCTATCTTTCTTAGCCATTAGGTGTCTTCTTTTTACAATATACCAAAGAAGTTCTGGCATTTCAACTTTCAGATTTATTTTTGATTCTTAATTTTTTTTTTGTAGTTGTGTATGGACAACATCCCTTTATTTTATTTGTTTATTTTATGTGGTGCTAAGGATTGAACCCAATGCCTCACACACACTAGGCAAGTGCTCTGCCACTGAGCTATAGACCCAGACCATCAACTTCCCAGATTTCAGTCAACCAACTGGATAAGCAGAGTCACTGAATCTAACACATTGAATCAATAATCTCTGCTTAGTGAGCCCTTAGAAAGAAATTCAGCCTCATATGATATATATTGCTTCTAACCTGATCTCATGTCTTTGGGATCTATGTCCATATATTTCCTTAGGTTCCTATAGATATAAATTGGCAACATCATGCTATTGTTTGGGTGTGTAT